ATATAATTTCACTGAAAAGAGGCTCAGGCACATTCAACCCAACCCACTGAAAAAGGCTTTAAGAAGGCCAGTTTTAACATGTAAATCCACTCACTTTTAACAAAACTCTCACATTAAAAGTTATAAAGGTTAGTATCATTTATACCTTTAATGAATAATTAAATTTGCTAATATATAATTAACCATTATTAAAACAAATTTTATAATTAACAAAACCTTAAAGTAATTTATATTGATTTATCTAAAAATTTAGTTTATAATATTTGTAGAAAAATAAAGATAAATCCATATATGTATATCATTCATTTGATAATTATCATAATCGAAAAATAGTTTATATTATATTATGAAGTATTTATTAACATTAATGAATCTTAGATTTTATTAATATATAATTACTATAAATTAAAAACAAATTTCCTTGATTTGCTAACTAGTATTATAACAAATTATTTATATTTTATTATCCAAAAAGTATTTTGCATCATAAAATCTGTCTTTTAATCCCTTCATATATATCTCGTATATATTTTTATGTATACATGAGTGTTTCAAGTTTAATTCATGTAATAAAATATAATTTTATTATACTAAAAAATTTCCATAAAAATGTTGGTTAATTTATTGTTAAAGTTTTTGAACGCATGACTATTAAATTATTTTAGTGGCAAATATTTATTTTAATATTTGTTGGCTCTACTTCTAAATATTTGTAAAACTATTCAATCCAACACGTGCGGATAAAACACCTAATTTCATATATTTAATAAAAATGGGTAATTTCCAATAATAAATAGATAAAAAAAAAGTTGTGTTATAATAATTATTAATTAGACTCTCCAAACGTAATTTGACTACCTCAAGAAAATTTATAATATTTTTAATACTAGCTAGATACATCATCATATAATTTTTATTTTATTACAAATATTGATAAACTACTTATAAAATGTAATATTGATAAACAATACAAACAACATTTCATGACGTATCTTTACAAAAAAAAAAAAAAGATTTCATGACATATCTCTCTCCATAACACTCAAATCGACAAACGGTTCTACGTACATTTTGATAAAAAAAAAAAATCTCTCAGCAACAAACGACTACTAAAAATGATTCTTCATGCAGCAACTTGAAATTTCTTATAATTTTGTGAGAAAATTTATGTTTTATGCATAAAGAAATCAGAAACCTAACAACAAAAGTATTAAATACATATCTGAATCTTGGTTACATTTAATGAAAATTTTGATATATGTTTTCCAACAAATCATTTTTATTAACAAACGTTAATTTGGGGTTCTTATCTTTTTAATCTTTATTAAATTTAATTAAATTTGGTTTTCTTTTTAATACCAAAAATTATTATGGACCGAAGTCTGTAATTATTTTAATCCAAAATCATGTCATATAATATTAATATTATATTTTACGTCATTCCATTTTTTCCGTTTTATCTCTAATACTTTCAAATAAGGTATAGTATAAACTCTTTAAATTTAGTAATCTATAAATTAATATATTCTAAAAATCTCTATAAAACAATATAATTTTATAGTCTCAAACTGAGTTTTTGACTCAGTTAATATATCGATAAATTAATAATCTCTATAAATTAATAAAAAGTTATAGTTTTGGTGTAGCCCCATCATTATTAATTTATAAATGTTTCACTGTATTTTGGTATGTTTTCTATCCCAAATGACACATATTACATGCATGTATCATAATCAATTTTATGACTCATTTTAATAATAATTAAACAATTGATGAGTATTTATTTGCTGTACATTTTTTTACCAAACATTATGAAAGCAATAAAAGCACATAATATATCAATTAAGAAGAAAGTTAAATAATGGAACTTATTTGTTCCCATATAATTTGAAAATAATTGTTTCTAGTTTCAGGGCATTAATGTATTTGTCAACCCATAAGAATATCATACCTTAAGTACTAGAGATAAGCTCTCCCAATAATAAAAACTTAATTAAGACAGTTAACTTCTTGCCACTATATAAATATGACAGTGTTTCTGACATCATATGTGCATATTAACCAAACTAGTGGTGTTAGGGAGTCTGACTAAAGATAGAGTTCTTACAAGATAGAGTTCTCTCACAAACTAAGCCAAAAAAAACTTGTGATCACACAAAAGAGATGGAGATGAAACGCAAAGAGAGGGAGCCTGAGAATCCTAGCCTCTTCTACCTTAATCTGTACTTGAACATTTCTAAGTTCCCAAACGCTTCTCAATCTTTAAATGACTCTTCATTCGACAACACTCGTACTAGGGCTAGTTTATTCGATTTTTCTAACCGCAAACAAAATATACAGCCATTATTTAAGAAAATTCGTTATAGTCCTGAGCACGGCTGTATAGTCATGAATACTGAAGAATCTCCTTCATCTACTTCAACCTCATTTTTACGTGATTTATCGCCAAGACTTGTTCGTGGTAATGGTAATGCTAACATTCCTGAGATTTACACAAAANCACGGCTGTATAGTCATGAATACTGAAGAATCTCCTTCATCTACTTCAACCTCATTTTTACGTGATTTATCGCCAAGACTTGTTCGTGGTAATGGTAATGCTAACATTCCTGAGATTTACACAAAAGATCTCGTTTCAACCATTGGAAGTCGTGACCATTACTCAGCAGATCTTGTCCCAAACTTCGGGGAAAACAGTTACAGCATCATTGATTCTAAAGATTGGGGGCTTGATCTGTCTCTCTAGATGTATTCCTACCTTTTTAAATTAAAAGAATCGTAAATGCTTATGTATTTTGTTTCAGATTGTCCTTTCTTTGTACTATTATTTATGATAATAAAAATGTGCTAAAGCATTCAAGTTAAGAATATACTGTATCTCTTATCATATACATAAAGCATCTATTAAATCAAATGAATTACCACGCCATATAATAATGTACATGTACGTATGTGTATCAATGTAGCTAGATCAATGTAGAAAAGCTATTCATATGTTATCAGAAATATATTCCTTTGAGTGAATGACTAACCAAATAATTCAGTATCACCAAATATTACGTACTTAATGTTGATTAATGTAAATACTGGTTAGTATACGTAAGAAAAAACAGATTGTATAACATCATATAAATCTATGAAAAGATGCAATACAGTTTGACCGAAAAAGAAGAGCAAAAGAACATAAGCGATTTCATGTAATTATAATAAAAGAAGAATCGAAAATTGACTTAATCAATACTAATACAGTTCGCTATTCATTTTTGGAATATAAATTCAAATGTTTGGGTTTTTGTAAAACACATTTTTTTAAACACATAAATGTTTGTAAATTATCTAGCTATTTTAGCTGCTGAGGTTATTTTTATCATAATGGCCAATAATTATGTGTGTATTGTCAAATCTCTAATTACAGTGGATGACGTCAGTAATTTATTATTTTGATAAATTCTATTCTTACAAGTATTAATTTTTCATTGAAAAATGAGACAAATAATATATCATTTTCTAAATACTATTTCAGAGAACAACATTGATTTTTTTTTTTCATTTTTATCACCAATACCATTAAATAAATCTAATCTTACATATTTATTGTGTCTTATCACCAATACCGTTAAATAGATCTAATTTTACATATTTATTTCTTTCATAACTTCTTCTAGATTTTTTTATGTTTGATTAAAATGTGTAGAGTACTCCCATCACACATATAAATTTGAAGAATATATTGTACTTCTGATAATATTTACATTTGTTACTACTTTTTATTTTCAGATATAATGAAAATATAGTTAAAGGTGTTCACAAATAACTTAGTATAATAAATCATACATAATAGTCAAAGAGAGAAAATGGTAAAAGAAATATCTATAATTTACAAGCAATATAAAAATGACTAGTATATAACACTACTCTTATACATAAACATCTCTTTAAATAAAATAAATTTAAATTAAACTTTCTATAATATATTCATGTTAGATTACCTAAACTGTATATTCCATGAATATTTCTTGTCTCCAGCGCATTGTTAGAAATAGCATACTGGCTGTCATTTGTCAAAATATCATAAATATAAAAACATCAGTATTGTCTGACGTCAGAAAATGTACATTCATTAAGATATTTAATTATATAGTGATTATCTTACTTTCTAGAGGCAAACCTATAAACCGTGTTAGTTCAATGTATGCAGTACGATAGAATGAGCCGGTTGAAGCTTTTGCAACCTCGGGCTAAACCGGCATCTCTCATTTTATATAGGACAAACTTTATGATGATGATCGCATTTTATTGAGCTTAGACTACGTCAAATATGTAGGTTTGCTCATATGGTGACATCAAATGCAAAGATGAGTTCATTGTCTTCCAAAACAAAGAATAAGAACCTATATATACACATCTATCACCTCAAATATTATGGTCTTTATGTTTGACTATTCCATTTTAGTAACCGCGTATGTTTTGTACTAACCGTTTGATATCACCATATCATGTGTTAAGGTTAAGAGTCAACGTCTATTTACATTTGTTGTTTTATCAATATATGTTATATATTGAAAGGTTTGTTTTATAGTTTCTTCATTCTTCCAATTATTTTTTGTTGGATAAGCTTCAAAGAAGACCTTAAACAACAAGTTATTCATAAAAGGAAAGATTGAAGAACTATATATCAATAGGTTTAGGTTTAAGTTAAGTTTCTACTTCAAAGTGTAATAGGTTAAAGATAGGACATTTATTACCTCTATATATAAAGAGCTAAGTGTATGATGATTTTTTTAAGAAAATATATAAAACAAAGCAATCGTTTTATACATCCATGTGTTCTTGAGTTCTTTTGATTTCAATATTTTTTGTCAGCTTATAACTCAATCACGCACGATGAAACTTATGAATCAACTCATGATGGCTGCGACAAAAAAAAAAACGTTTTTTCGAATTTCATAATGAATGTTACAAACGCAAAGCTATTTCTGGCCTATTTACAACGCAACTTTTTACTTAAAAGTCGTGGCATGTTGAAAGTCTTGTGAGAGAGTGAGAGATGGCGATGAAGAAGAGGAATGGAGGAAGAGGCAGACCACAGACATATCATCCATGGCTATTCCTCGTCTCTTCTTCTTCCAAGCCCGAACCGCTTGCTCCACTAATCGCTTAGCCGCCTTTGGCCGCTCAGCAGTCGAAGAAACTATCTCTATAGCTTCTTGGTTTGTGATCACATCCCAAATCTTTTATATTCAAACCAAAAGCAAAAAAAAAACAATTTGGTCAATAAAGTTACAAATAAATAAATAAAATTAGGAGTGTGCAATAGAATAACAATTTAATTCAAACAGATCAAAAAAAGTTTATTTGAAACTTAAAAAATCTGTAAGTAGGTTGGTCTATTGCTGTCTCAAAGATTTTATTTGAATATCCGAAAAGCAAGAAACTGAAATTTATATTATTTTGTAACTTCAAAATCCATTTAATCAAAAACCAAAACCGAAATGAGACATCCAAGACGGTTATAAATTTGATTTTTACTTGTAGCTATTTTTATAAAACCAAAAACTCAAAACAAAACAGTACATTATGTTCAAATGCTTTCTTCCATCTCACATTTGGCATTTAAAAAATGAGTATTTTAAGTGTGTGGAATGTGAATGAATGAGTATTGAGAGTTTGATTTCAAGGTTCATAGATATTTTACCCCATCACTAGCCAAGATGATGAAGTGGTCTTTAGCAGAGATATGCCTTTGAGTGACTTCAGGGACAGAGACCAATCCATACTCCTTGATACAATAGTCTCCGAACGCTCTTGACATAGCCAGCCCCGGAGCTTCTGTATCTGGTTGCCATACACGGTGCACTCCTGGCTCATCTTTCATACAGAATACACGCCCATTGCACCCGATTATTCTCTCCTTCTCCTCTATTTTTTTCACACCAAAACAAACACAAGAATCAAGATTCAAGAACTTACTAGATCCATAATATTCATATCTTTTTCAAGATCTAGTAAGGTAAGTTTAAGAAAGATTGAGAAAACTAACGAGGCAGATTCGGTTTGAAATCGAGGGTTAGCTGAACAGCAACCAAGCTTCCTTCATCCGAAGTCGTGGCTAGTACTGCTCGTGAATCGCCTACGTTTGATACATAAATAACATCACCCTACATACACCAAGAAACCATTATATAAAAAACATTTTTTATTAATAATTAGGAACTATAAATCGTTTATGTTTTTTTAATGAAATGTTATATTCATTTTTACTCCGATTGGGTCACTAGTTCTTTTATGTTTTACCTGTCTGACAATGGTTATAGCGGTTGAGCCACTGTTGTAAGAATCGATCTTTCGGTGATGTTCAAGTTCTTGATCAACAGATGCACATGTCTTGAGATACGAATGTTTCCATATGTCGAATCTCGAGAGTTGCTTCTTGGAGCCTTCGAGGTCTTGCTCGGGATCTAGTAGTGTGGTTTGAGCAAGAGTCTTTTGCCAGTTGCATAGAAGCGAAGAAGGCATTGAGTTTCTTACATGTTTGGCTACATAGTGACCCCATGGACCATGTCCATCGAATATTCCACAGAATATCATGTCTTCTTGGCACCCAAATCCCTATTTACCAAATGATAAATTGTAAAAATACTAAGATATTAACATTCTTTTTTTTTTTTACACAAACTAAGCTATTAACATACTCAAAACATGGTAAATAGCATTATGATTTGAATCTAAAAGCTACACTTAAAAGAACTAAGCAGTCTAACAACACAAACGCAAACGCATAAATTTTTAAAACGGGGAAAAAGGTTAGTAACGTTGTAATATACCTCCCAAACGATTGCACAGTCCTGGTTAACGCCTTTTTGGCCGCGTTTAGAGAAAACAGAGGCTGAGTTATTAGAACCTTCTGCATAAAGGTAACCACATGATTTAAGAATCATCTCCTGCTTCTTGGCATCTTTCACCATCTCATCAGCAGCTTCCCTAGCGTCGCTAGTTCCATTGTTGTTCTTCACTTTCTTGATCGAGAAGGATCGAGCTAACCCACTAAACATGGACGAAAAATGTCCCATTCTTTAATTACACCAGATGATGAAAATATCAAGCAACAGTGAGTAAGATGATCTTGAATCTGTTTGAACAAAGAAGAACAGAGAGTTTTTAGAGGGACATAATATAAAATCCAAAAAAATAATACCAAACAGAGGTTTAAACTTAAAAGGTAAGAAGATGAGTCATGGTACAGAGAATCTAAATGATTTGAAAAAATAAAATTATGCTGAAGTTAGCAAAATATTCATAAGTCTGACATGGAATTCCACTGAAACAAGCTTCTGGGATTTATCAATGGTTATCTTTTGAGATAAAACTCAAAATATATATATGAATTTGACTCTTAGGGGAAATTAAGTTTCTCTTTATAGAAAACACATTTAGAGTTATTTCTTAATAAGGAAATGAAAAACAAGTTGCAAGACTCCAAGATTCTCCCTCTTTTGCTTTTTCAGGGAAATCTAACAAGAAAATAATAAATCTATCACAGTCTGAGAACTTTATGAACATACTTTTGCTTAAGATATACTATTAAATATAAAAAACCTAAAAGGCAAAATCCAACAACAGATTACTCTTCACCCTCTTTGTTTAAACATTCTTGATTCCTCACAAAACAATCAGATTCAAATCAGATGTGTAAACGAGAGATATAGATAGATAGAGGGAGACCTTTCCAGTGGCTAAGAGACGCCGTAGAGATGACGTGTTGTCTGAAAAGCTGACGTAGCACCAAACGAAAAAGAAGAGTTAGCTGATGAAGCGAGAGAGAAAATAATCAGAATCCATTTAATGCTCCAAAGAAAAAGAAAACACGTTAAATGGAACAATCAAGAAAGATTATTTATAAAGTTAATTTTTTTTTTCTGGTACGGTGTTGTAATAGTTCTCACTGTCATTTATATTATGGTAAGGGAAGGACAAAGACATGGACGACAATGTCTTTGGTCTTTTGTGGATGTCAGAAAATCAGAAATTCAATAATTATATTATTTATAATCATAAACTCACCACGATATTTGTTTCTTATGTTTTAAAATGAAAATTGGTTAATTAAGAACAAGTTGTAGAATATATAAGTGTGGATTAAAGAATCAACGACAACTACGAGATACGTTTATATCTTCTTCGAAATTAAACAAGTGATTTGTCAATCATAACATTTTTGTTTTGTTACAGGCCTTCATATTTTTAATAGTGTAAAATTGTTATTACATTTATTAATGACAAAATTATTGTCAGAACAACACAATATTAAAATGAGGAAATTCTGTACGTGGTGAAATGTTGAGTTGCATCAAGAGTCAAATAAAGCAGATCCAACTAATAAAGTTCAGTAAATAACACAGTACCAAGGAACATGTTTCACCCAAAAAAAACACAGTACCAAGGGTAATCAAATATTTTATATGCAAACAAACAATACACAAAGGTTTTTAGACCATCTCCATTCATGAGGACTTCTAATGGGGTACTTAACATTAAATTAGTGTTTAATATAATGATTTGACAGTTTTAGAATCTCTAATAATCTGTTTAATTTTCCATCCTCCATTGATAGATCCTTCATTGGTAGTGGATTTGAGTCACGTGGATGAAAGAGAACACAACGAAATTGTCGAGAGAGAAGAGAAGAGAAGAGAGAGAGAGAGAAGAGAAGAGAAGAGAGATGACGGTCCAATGAAAAAGTGCCACGTAAGGCTCCTTAATAATCCTCAAACTCCCCTTTTCAGTATCGCTCCTTCCTTTTTTTTCCTTTTTTCATTTATTTTTTTGAGTTTTTCTTGAGGACCTTGGCCCAAGTACCCCTTGATGTACCTGCTCTTAGAAAAAGTTAGTTTTTACGAATGAACAAGATGATAAAACCATCACATCTTACACTATTTAACATTATCCGTAGGAAGAACACATCTGTTGTGGTTAGAGCATGATTATTGCAGGTCCCTTAAGTTGGGTCCCTTAGCGTACAATCCCTTAGCTTTTAACTGAAAACGTTAAGGGACGTCTCTTATATAAGGGATTTAAGGAACGTCCCTTAGCGTTTTCAGTTAAAAGCTAAGGGACCGTACGCTAAGGGACCCAACTTAAGGGATCTGCAATAAACATGGTCTTATGCAATATCTTCTTCTTTTTTTGTTACTTTGCAATATCTTTTTAGACGGAATGTTATGCAGTTATTATACGAATAATAGCAAAACAGTGTATAAAATCAATTTAACTGGCATATAGGTAAGCAGGAGGCATAAAAGAAAATATGGTCAAGCCACTAACGATAATAAAATTCGAAGCTTGGGGAATCTGATCATATAATATATACTATGCTTGATAATATTACTTTATTTAGTATTGCGTCATATGATTATCGTGGTAACAATATTTCCGTATGTCAACGACATCGATCTTAAGAAAAAATATACAAAATACGGTTTTAGATGTGAATATTAGAGCATAGTTGATGTATTTTGTACGTATGAATAAAATACATCAATTAATTTCCTAACCACAAGATATTTAGGTCAATACCGAAACTAACTCTAAAGTTTACAATTTTTATAGAAGAAGAGGTCAAATGATTAAAATCAATTTTGAAACTTACACTTTTGAGAATAGTTTATGTAAATTTCCCGGTTTAATATTATTTTGGCAACGGGTTTTGATGACCGGCCAAACAAGATGGGTATAAAAAAGCATGAAAATGACAGAAATGACTTAACAATAATGCTGTTATAAAAAAAGACTTGGCAATAATGCTCTCTAGCTTTTGATAAAGTCCAGTAAAAGGCAGTGCACTGATTGTAATTTTGCTTTGGCCCTTGACTCAAACATTTAAAAATAGTTCCATCATTAACAAACGCTTGTATAAATCCATTTGAAAAGGTCCCTAAGTTTTTTTTGTTTGTTTGTTATATATGATGCCTAGGAACTTTTATTGAATGTGAATTTTCTAATATTCTTTAGACTTTTTAATATAACTTGGAAAGCTTAAATTCCTATACACTTCACGATTATATATAATAACAATATCGTGGTTTAGTAATAATTAATTTCTATAGGCACGTTAACTGTATAATTTGCTAGTCATATCTTCTATTCAGAATATTTCTCGGAAGACCAAATGTACAACGAAAAACAAACACACAAGTTGAGCATTCAAAATACATATACGTTGGTCGTAGCAATACACGTTTAACATAAGCATTTTGAAGTTTGAACAAACAGTTTTTATAATGTGTACTATAAACAATAACATGTGAATATGGTCCATAGATGTGTAAACTAATAAAAAAATATTTATAAAGGTGCATGCATATGTGAATAATAAATATAGATCGATTGAGATCCTGTGTTGTACTATGCCAAATAAACAGCTCACGATAAAAGGTATGATTGGTCTGGTTCGATACGTTAGCTTACATGATTATTTTCCGGTTTGATCTTAAGTGAACCGGATCAATAACCGTAGCGTGTGTCAGGTCGCAATAATCAGACGCCGTGACGAAACTGGACACGAACCTTCGAGTTTCACATTCGTCGAGGGAACAGTCGGTGGGACCCATTTTACGAGGACTGTGTCTGACCGCTTGTGACGGTAGTCTTTGGTGAGGGTCCCACCAAGCATAAGAAAACAACGAACACTGATTCTCTGTATTGGTTCGTTGGATGAAT